TTGTGATAGGGACATTATTCTGGATTACATGGTTAAGGTCAATCTAATTACATGGTTGGTCTCTTAATAGTGGGAGAGGTAGGCAGACTAGTAGATCATAAAGAAGGGACATGAGGAAGACACAGTGTGTAACTGTTGTTGGTTTTGAGATGGAGGGAAAGGGTCCACAATCCAGAAATAAATGGGTTTTCAGAAGGTAAGAATGACTCCTAGATTATGGCCACTAAGATAATAGAGATCTTAATCCTAGAACTGCAAGGATTTAAACTTTTCCAACAACTTTAGTAAGCAAAATGGAATTCTCTCTCCAGAAAGAAATGCATCCTGCCAACCCCCTGATTATATTTTGGTGAAACTTATATTGGACTCTGATCTGTCCAGAACTGTTAAATAATGCATTTATATTGTTCAGGCTATTAAATTAGTGATATTTTATGGCAGCAAAAGAAAATTCACACTGTATTAACAAATAGAAGATGTTCCCTTAGAGAGTTCTAAGAAAGGGAATTAACAATCTAGACATCACCTATGATCATATGGTTTTCTTTTTCAAAACTCAAAATAACCTAATTAAATATATATTATTGTTTTAATTTTATGAATAAATAAGACACTTAGAGAGAAAACTTAGAAAATAACACTACACTAAATCCAGGTCTTATTGACTGTAAATATCATGGTGTGATCAATTAATCCCTCTCCTTCCTCTACACTCAAAATATCTGGGGGATAGTCTGTTGTATACATTACATGACAGCAAAATGTGAGGGGCTGCCACTGCATAGTATTCTAGCTATGAAACCTTTTCTGTATTAGAATGATACAGAATTTTTCCTTGTCTCTCCACAGAGAACTAGCCTTTTCTTTTCTTTTATACTTGTTAATGGACCTTTATTTTATTTATTTATTTATGCGGTGTTGAGAATCGAACTCAGGACCTTACATATTCTAGGCAAGTGCTTGACCACTGAGCCACAACTCCAGACCAGAACTAGCTTTTTTATAAATAAATATCTCAAATGTTACGTTTTACCCAGATTACAAAGCTAAATTTTTCTCCCTTCATCCCCACATGCTGGTGCTGTACTTACGGAGCTCTTATATGTGAGTATCCAAGAGTCTTACAATCAACCATAAGAACAAAGGCACTGTTTAAAACAGGAAAGCTCTACTTAGCAGCTTAACTTTTGAGACTTGCTAGACAAAGGCAGATCCCCAGGAGGGTGAGGTAGGTATTTCACAGCTGCTGTCATATTGCTTGGCCTTGATTTGGGGGTGGGGTGGGACTTGCTTTTTAGCACATCTGGATCCATGTTACTTTTTTTTTTTTTTCATCTAGGAGCAAGCCCAGACTTGGAGTTCCTAAAAATAGCTGAGACAGTCTTGTTCCTTCAAAAATCTTTCTAAAACACTATGGGCAAAGTCAATGGGATAAATATGAAGCATGAAGAAATATAGCAGTTCCTCTTGGAAGGCCCAGGATTTGTGTTCTACTAGATCCTGTTGATGGCCATTCTATCTTCTGTCACAAGACAGCCTACACCCTGTTGTCATAAATTACTGGAATAACAGATACTGTATCTTGTTTTGTGTTTAAGCACCTGCTCCAAATTATATAATAAAAATAGGGACAGCTTTAGAGAGATCTTAACCTTTGGTATGGTTTGGATCTATAATGTCCTTTAATATCTCCTGTCAAAACTACTGTCCCCAATGAAGTAAGGTTCAGAAGTGGGGCTTTTAAGCAACGATTGGATCATGAGGGCTCTGACTTCATCATTGAATTAATCCATTGATAACTGAATGGAATATTGGGAGGTAGGACCTAGTTGGAGTACGTATCATTGAGACCATGTGCTGTGCTGAAAAGGGCTTATTTTGTCCTTGGCTCCTTGTATGTACCCCTCCTTTTCTTTTCTGTCTCTGACTCTGTCTCTCTGTTTCTCTCACTCTCACTCTCACTCTCACTCTGGCTCTAGCTTTTTCTGTGAGCTGAGCAGCTTTTTGGTACCACACCATTATTCAAGATGTTCTGCCTTACCTCAGACCCAGAGCAACGGAACCAGCCAACCATGGACCAAATACTCTGAAATTGTGAGCCAAAATGAATCTTTCGTCCTCTAAATTGCTCTTGTCAGGTATTTTAGTTACAGCAAAGAAAAGCTGACAAACACACCTTTCCATTAAAAACAAGCAAATCTATATTCCATCTCTCACCTCTTCGTTCTTGGTCTTGAAATACATTTTTTTTCCCTAAGTGAATACCTTCAGGGATCATTTCCTCCTTTGATTTAGGACCTGGTATTGTGCAAAATACTATATAATTCTACATATCCAACAAACCACTTTATACAAAGTGTTCCAAAGCATATTTATATTCCTAGTAGGCTTCAGGATAATTTTAAATCCGTACTTTCCTTTAGATAATTACAATATTATTTTAATATGTACAATTATGTAGTTACAAATAATTATTTAAATATGTACAATACAATAAAAATGGCATCTTAAATGCTAATTTAACTGATTTTGGTTAGAATAATTTTTAAAGGGGTTTGATTTAAATAAAAATACTTGTAAATTCACCCACAAGAGAATGACTCTTAAGAGAATCATGCCATTGAAACAACAGCAACGACTAGAAAACTTGGCAAAATAGATGCTGTATCTGCTTTCAGACTTTGAGTATGGACAGCATCAGATTAGGATATCTGGGGAACTCCCTAGTCTCCTGCCTGGAGATGAGTTCTGGACAACACAAGGAGGAGGAGAACCCAGCTAGAGTTGGTGATCTCCCTGAATTGATGAGTCATAGGTCAGAGTGCAAGAAGACTTAGGCAGTTATAAATGGTGGAGCAAGTACAATAAAGTTAGGATTTGTACAGCAAAATAGATCCAAATATTTGTACAGAACAATTGACTGAAAGCCAAACGAATGTGCATATCGTAAAACTTTATAAGGCCAGGTAAGGAACAATGCTAGGAGTTCTTCAGCTGAAAAATTTCTGTATCTTGGACTAATTCAATTTTTCCTTGTTCAATTTGGAAAGATCTTGCTGCTTACATGTGGGTATTTAGTAATGATCACAGAAAAATAACAACATAGTAGTGGGACTAAAGTAGCTCTTGATTAAACTAAGTTCCTCAAGACCTGCCCTGAAAAGTCTTAAAATAGCACTGGGAAAAATTGAGCTCATCAATAATTTTAACTGCCTTCAGGAAAAAGTCACTTATTAAAGAAATACAACAAAATCCAGAGAGCTAAGAAACAAAAACCCTACTGACACTCAGTAAAATTTCCAGATAAGTATAGAAAAGTGTAACCAGAGCTAAAAAGAAGTTAATCAATCAATCAATATGTGCTATTGTTGAAAAATTATGGCCAACATGATGTTAAGGACATTTAAACAATTATTTTAAGTATGAACTATATGCTCAAGTGTTTTAAAAAATGATGGTATGTGAAAGATAAGAGATATAAAAAACCAGCAAATTAGAAATCCTACACATGAAAAATTAAATACTAAAACGACAATTTTACTGGGTGGAAATAGCTGCCTATTAGACACTATAAAAAAATTCAGCAAATTAAATGACAAGGCAAAATAAAAATAAAAATTGAATTGCATGAATGATATAAATATTAATAAAAGAGATTCTATCATCCGTGGTGCAGTAGCAAGCAGCCTAACATATATGTAATAAGAATCACAGATGGGGCTGGCATTGTAGCTCAGTGGTAAGAGTGCTTGCCTAGCACATGTGAGGCACTGGGTTCAATTCTCATTACAGCATATAAATAAATAAATAAAATAAAGGTCCATAAACAATTAAAAATATTTTTTTAAAAAAGAATCACAGATAAGGAGGAGGTAGGAGAAGGAACCCACAAAAACAAAATGGGAAAATTTAAATGACAAAGCATTTTACTGTTTGGAGAAAACTATAAATCTAATTGTCTAATAAGCTCAAATAACCCAGAATAGGATAAACACTAAGAAAATAACACCAAAACACATAGCAATCAAATTTTAGATAGCCAGGTATGAAGGAAAATTTTCCTAAAAGAAGTTTAAGAGATAGATAAATAGATATTACGTACAAGGACCAACAATAAATACAACAGCTTTTTTTCTCAGAAATCATACATATCAAAATAAAATAAAGCAATAATTAAGGAGCATTGAAAAAAAGTAAAATTTAATCATTTAATCATTTGTGAATGTAGTTATAATTTTATTCAATACTGCAAAGTTGAAAAATAAATTTTAGTTTTGCTAGTACTGTATTAAGTGACTTTAATGGAAACATAAACATTTGGCCTTATTTGCTCATGTGATTCCAAACTCTATCAAGTCTCCATCTACCTTCAAGTTCTACTAGAAAAGGATTCTTAATAAACATTCATCCAAATTCTCCTTAGCTCTTGTTTTGTTACTTATATAAACATTTTAGATTTTTCTTCCTAGCTTTACTAACTCTAAGCCAACAGGTACCCATCACTCTAGTACATCCCTAAGTCATACTCTGCATCTCCTTGACATTCTGTTTCCTTAGATCCAATATAATGCCAGGAAGACGTCAGAATCATCTCTATGCCTTTCTTCCTGTTCTTTTCTGTTGAAAAGAACTGTTGAAATCGGAGAGCCTGAAGTCAGAATTGACATTCCTTGGCAGTAGCTGTTGACCTTAGTAAGTTGCAGAATGACTTCAAGCTTCAGGTTGTTAAGTTCAAGCAGATGTCTTCTAAGGTTTAGTGGGGAACTGAGATCTGTCATAGAGAGCTCTTAAGAGAGTTATCTATATTAATAGACACATACAAAAATGTACTATTTTTAAAGCATGCTCTTAAGACTGAAATGTGTACAGGCAATTAAAAAGTATTAAGGCTTACTTACTTAGCTTCATCTGGCTGCTACACTATTAAGACCACTGGTAACTATACTTCTTTTATCCACCAGTTCTTGCCTTTTAATATCTTAATACAATTTGTCTTCCAGATCACAGCAGTTCCATGTTAAGAGGATGAAAACATGAGAATTCCACCCCATTCCCACGACTGAGACCAGTGTCTATCTCCCTTAGAATAACCAGGATGAGACTTGATCCCTGACTAGGCAGTCATCGCCTCTTACCAGCCTGAAGCAGCCATAGAAGATGGATCTCCACCACTTACCAACCCTTAAGAAAGGGGGGAGGGAGGCCATAGGTATTTATGAGAGAGAGAGAGAGAGAGAGAGAGAGAGAGAGAGAGAGAGAGAGAGAGAGAGAGAGAGAGAGTTAAATGAAATATCCACGAGCCATTGAGATGCAGAAAGTGCTCAGGAATAATTGTAACTCCTGAACCATATGTCTTTGTAATATGAGGGAAATGGGCAAGCTCAGGGAAAACTGGCATGAAACTGTGTAACTTCACCTGGGCTCCACCTCAAGTGCAGCCCCTGGCACTGGCACAATGTACATATTAACACCCCACAGCAACAAGTTGCTGTGTTTCTCCGAATATGGCTTGCAATCTCACTTGCTTTACCCCAAGAGCATCTTACTTGAGATTGTCCCCTTCTCCCTTATATATGTATCTACTTTCCTTTTATTTAGGAAAGTAGATACAATACAACAATGTTGCTGTTGTCTTTGCTGCTATCCTTGTTACTAATCTACGTAGGAGAAACTTTTAGCATGAATTCTTCAGAATTTCATTCTATTCCCAGTAAATTCTAGAGAGCTATGAGTTTGTCCTGGAAATGAATCTCAGGGAAGTCATACGTTTATGGTGGCAGCTCTTGAAATGTGACTTGTGTACATTAAGATGTGCTGTATATATAAAATACATTAAAGAAAAAAAGTAAATTATATATTAATAATTCTATCTTAATTACAGATTGAAATGATAATATTTTAGATTGGGGTCAAATAAATTTTATTATTAACAAATTCACTGTCATATATTTTCGTTAAATATGGTGTGTTAGACAGCTTTTTGTTGCTGTGACAAGTATCTGAGGAAAACAACCAGAGGAGGAAAGATTTATTTTGGCTCCCAGTTTTCAGAGGTTTTCAGCCCATAGTTGGCTGTCTCCAAGTCAGAAAGCATTATGGTGGAAACGTGTGGTGGAGAGCAGCTCACCTCATAGCAGCCATAAAGAAAAGAGAGAGGGAGAGAAATGGAGAGGAGAGCAAGAGTGCAGAAGGGGATGGGGAAAAGACACAGCCTTCAAGGGCAAGCCCCTTGGGACATACTTCCTCCAGCTAGACTCTACCTCCTACAGTTTCCACCACCTCTCAATAATGCCATCAGATTATTAATTTATCCATGTTTTGATACACTGATGTGGAAAGAGCTCTCATGATCCAATTACTTCTCAAGATCCACTTCTCTGAACATTGCTGCATTGGGGACCAAGCCTTTAACACATGAGCCTTTGGGAGACATTCATATCCAAACCACAACAAGCATATAGAATCCAATAAATATCAGCCAGTATTGTTACTGTGACTATCTCCATATTTAGTGTGAAGCTGAAATAATGATCTCTTCCTCAAGAGCACTGAGAATCATTTAATCTACACTTCTAGCTGATGTTTCTGGATTTAGAAGCCTGTGTTACACTCCAAAGAATGTTTCCTAAAACTGCTCATCCCAGAGGTAGCATGGCCAGTGGCAGGGTCCAGGAGCATCAACCTAGGTCCACAGCAGTTAGGATGATACTCTGTGTGATCTGCTTTAACTTGGCACTCAGGACATGTCTTCCAGGTGGGAGATTTGTGGATTGCTGACTTGAGTGGTGCAGAGGATGGAGGTTTGTGTGAGGACCTGGGGATCCCTCCTCTTTCACCACACTCTCTGGGAACTGATAGGCTTCTCCTATGTGTCCCTACTTCCCTCCCATGAAGTTTCCAGGGACTCAAAGGTTTCCTTGTGAGGTGCAAACCATGGGTGATTTATTCGAGGTCCCCCTGCCAAGAAAGTGTTTGCAGTATTTAACAGGTTTCCACCATAGAATCTCATCTTCCTTCCCCCTTTCTCTGTTTCTTCACTTTTCAGGATTAGATGCTAAATAGATTTGGATGGACAATTTGGCTTGTTCCACTCCTTCCTGGCCACTGCCTGTGTTAGCTTCCCCAAATAAAACCTGAGCTGACAGCAATGGAATTTATGAAGACCAGTAAGACATGAGGTATGCAGAGTGGTGTTCACATGCAGCTGACCCACAAAGTGCTGAGGTCTCTATTTCCAGGCCAAATTGTACAGATGATATAGCCTGGACCTCTGCAACTGCAAAGATCAAACACATCAAAGTAATTCATAGAAAAGCAGTTTGTCTCCAGAAACCTAAAATTGGAAGAGCGCGATGGGAATCATATTCCCCCTACTTCAACACAGCTTGGGATTCCTAATTACCTTCAGGCCTGCCTCATCCTATAGTTGGGTGATATCCTTCAGATTCCACCTAGGAACCTAGCTGGGTCTTGAGCTCCCCAAATCTAAAGATTCCCTTGTATGGTTTTCCTTCTGGTGCTTTAGTTGTAGAGAACAGAATCAATGCAAGCTCGGTAACAATTTCCAGATCTCCAAAAAAAAAGGCATTCATATTCCTGTTGTGCTCTGAGTTGTTGCCTTCCCCAGAGTAGAGATGTGGGTATTGTCTCCAGTGACATGACAGAGCTTCATGGGGGCTTATGTTTCACTGATGGAATGTGGTACCCTCAGGGGTCAAAAGGAACTGATCACAAGAGGCCAATATGCTTTCTCAATCAGACCTGCTTGCCTCTGAACTACATGTTCATAAGCTCCACAGAGGCCCCTCTGCACACATGATTGGAAACATGCTTTTTAAAGCCTTGGAATGTAAAGGAAACAAATAAATACATCAAACTGCCATTTGATTTCTGTTAAGTGTGTGTGTGTGCGCATGTGCATGCATGCACAGATGGTCCCTGACTTAAAAAATGGTTTGACTTTAAGATTTTCAGCCTCGTGATGTTCAGAAAACAAACCTAAACAGCCATTCTGTTGTTCACTTGAATATAATATTGAAAAAAAAACATAGGAGATATTTAACACTTGACTATAAATTATGTTTTTATGGTAGGTGATTTTTGCTTAACTTTAGACTACAGTAAGTGTTATAAGCATGTTTGAGGCAGGGGAGGCTAAGATATGATGTTTGATAAGTCAGGTGTATTAAACACATTTTTACTAATGATATTTTTAACTGATAATGGGTTTACAAGGATATAAAACTCTGTTATAAGTTGAGGAGAATCTGTATATATCCACACATTATGTACACACACTACATGTATGTATGTACACATATATATGTATGCACACATACTTGTGTCTATACACATACATGCACACAGAGTTTATGCATACAAGCATACACACAGGCATCTTCATATGCATATAAATATATAACTACATAGTTCACACACACACACACACACACACACACTACTTACTTTGGACATATTAGCAATGACTAAGGCATTTTGAAAACTAGAATCAAAGTTCACTAACTAGCTCCTCATTATGACGGTGCAGCTTTGAGAGCTGGGCATTATGGATCCAACAACTTCAGTTTGTCAGATGGAATTAAGAATCTCTGGAGAGACTGCTTCCTCCTGAGCAGGGGGCACTGCCCTGGTTGTCTCAGATCCCTGGAAGTTTTTTGTTTGTTTTGTTTTTTGGTACTGGGGATTGAAAACAGTGGTGCTTAACCACTGAACTACATTCCCAGCTCTTTTTTACTTTTTTTGTTTTAATTTGAGTCAGGCTCTTGCTAATTTACTTATGGCCTCACTAAGTTGCTGAGGCTCACTTGGAACCTGGGATCCTCCTGCCTCAGCCTTCCAAGTAGGTGGGATTACAGGCATGCACCACCACCTCCAGCCTGGGTCAAACCCTAACCCTCCTCACATAGGAAGCAGTGCAGACTCAAATAAATTCAGTCATGCTTTGTTATTAGAAACATTTGCATAAAACATGTAACCTGTGATTTGACAGTAAATCCATGGGAAGAGAGGTGAGAGAGAGTGTGTGTGTGTGTGTGTGTGTGTGTGTGTGTGTGTGTGTGTGTGTCTTGGGGGCTCCCCTTTTACCTCTTACCTTATCTGTGAGGCTAACTCACCTGTCATGAGGAGAGGTTCTAGTCAGCAATTCTGGGTTCATACCAATAAATAAACACTAAAAAGTAAGCTTAAGGAAAGGGGAGAAAAAAAGTAGATATATTCCAAACAAGTAAAATTTGGAAAAACTGGAAATGGTAACTGGAGATAATTTGAAATTTATCCAGTTTGCCATTTTGTCTTCTAGAATAGATGCCTCCTTCCAGTCCACAAAATAGGAACTAGGGCTGTGTGTGTCATACCCTTGGGATGGCAGAGGGAGGTGTCCATATATATATATCTTTTCCCTATTTGGCTAGTCATCTCAAGAAAATTAGGAAAAAACAAATCTAATCATTAAAATACCAACCAAACAAACAGTTGTTTAGAATGAAAAACTTTTAGTGTTCCACAGAACAATGGGATAATAATGATTGGAAACAATTAGTTTAATAATTCAAAATAGTAAAAATAGAGGGCTTCAAATGTCTCCAACACAAGTAAATGATCAAGTTTCTGAGGTAATAGATAAGCTAATTACCTTGATCTGATCACCACACATTGTACACATGTATTGGAAAGGTCACACTGTACCCCATAAACATGCACAGTTATTATACAACAATTAAAAATAAAAATATACTAAAAATTGATTGAGATTGTTGTGATCATCTCAGCTACATAAGGAAAAATGCATACATTAAAGCTGTTGCAAAAAATCTAAAATAGAAATTAATCTTTTGCTTTTGCAGAAATATTCATTTATTATATCATAATTTGGTGACTGCGGTTAATGTCCAACAGTGTGGAAACTTACGCTCTGAAAGCAATGAAATGACACAGAGCAGACAGCAGCTTGGGAATCTTGGAATGATATTTACATCTCCCAGAGAAGAGTCAGCACCTGAAATCTGACTTTTATGTGGAGCTAATCCTCCTTTTGGCAATTACTTGCTTTCTGAGTATTTTAAAGACAAAATAAAAGTGATATCAGGTTAGTAGAAATGAGTGTTAGGCTGATGCATGCATTAGACAGACTTAGGCTGCATCATTCATATGCTCCAGCCTACAGCAGGAGTATGAAATAACCCCCAAAATGTGTGTACTAGAATCATCAGATCACTTTATTTCCTTTAATACTACTCATTGATTAAAAAAAAACAAACTATTTATACCTGCATAACATGGATGGTATCAGAGGAATTATGCTGAGTGATAAAAATCAATCTCAAATGGTTATGTGGTGTTTGATTCCATTTATATAACATCCTCAAAATAACAAAATTACAGAGATGGGAAACAAATTAGTGGTTTCTAGGAGCTGGGAATGGGGAGAGGGCTGAATGTTATTATAAGAGATGACATAAAACCTTGTGGTGGTAGAACAGTCTGAATATTGTGGTGGGTACCCCAGTCTACAGATGTGGCAAAATTTTACAGAACATACATGCAGACACATAAATAAATGCTTGCAAAACTGATGGAATTGAATATGGTTTGTGGTCTCTACCAATGTCAATTTCCTGGTTTTTAATATTTTGCTATAGATGAGCAAGATATTACCATTGGAGGAAATTGAATGAGCAGCCCATCAGAATTTCCTATACATTCTTTATAACTCCTCGTAAGTCTATAATTCATATATATATATTTTAGAAGCAGGCCCAAATCTTCATGTCAGTTTAGGCCCCGACTTCCTTAACAAGACTCCTAAAGCACAAGAAGTAAAATCAAGAATCAGTAAATGGGGTGGATTCAAACTAAAAAATCTTCTTCTCAGCAAAAGAAAGAATTAATGAAGTGAAGAGAGAACCCGGGAGCAATTTTACCATATGCACATCAGATAGAACACTAATCTCCAGGATATATAAAGAACTCAAAAACTTAACACCAAAAACCAAATAACCCAATCAATAAATGGGCCAAGGAAGTGTGCAGACACTTCACAGAAGAAGATAAACAGTTGATCAACAAATTTATAAAAAAATGTTCAACATCTCTAGCAGTTAGAGAAATGCAAATCAAAACTATGTTAAGTTTTCATCTCACTCCAGTCAGAATGGCAAATATCAAAAAGTCAAGCAACAATAAGTGCTGCGGAGGATGCAGGAAAAAGGTACACTGATTCATTGCTGAGTGGGACTGCAAAATGGTATAGATCACTTTGGAAAGCAGTATGGAGATACCTTAGAAAACTTGGAATGGAACCACCATTTGACCCAGCTATCCCACTCCTAGGTCTATATCCAAAGATCTTAAAAGAAGCATGTTACAGTGATGCAGCCACCTCAATTTTATAGCATTCAATTCATAATAGCTAAACTGTGGAAACAGACTATATGCCCTTCCACAGATAAATATATAAAGAAACTGTGGTATATATATACACAATGAAATACTACTCAGCCTTAAAGAAGAATGAAATTATGGCATTTGTGGGTAAATGGACAAAGTTGGAGAATATCATTCTAAGCAATGTAAGCCAATCCCAAAAAAAGAAAGGCCAAATGTTTTCTCTGATAAGTGGATGTAGATCCATAATGGATGGGGATCAAGGGAAGAATGGAGGAACTTTGGATTGAGCAGGGTGGGGGAGGGTTGGGGAGGGGGAACGTGGTAGGGTAGATGGTAGAATGAGATGGACATTATTACCCCAAGGATATGATTGCATGAATGGTGTGACTCTACATCATGTGTAAGCACAGAAACAAAAAGTAGTGCTTCATTTGTGTAAAAAATTAATGCAAAAATTAAAATAAATTTTTTTTTATCTTCTAAGATGCAAACTGTGAGTTTGGACTCATTGTTTCACGGGCTACTGGGAGCTGCCTGCCCACAGGAGGCTGCCTTGTCTTATAGTCTTCCCTTATTCTCTGATGAGGATACCTGATGAAGGAGTAAGTTGGACTCTTGGCTGATTGACAACCTGAGTAAGCAGGGACTCTTGAATCTGAGGCTTGATGTAGAGAGCAGAGTTAATTCATTTTTCACCATCTGTTCATCCATTAAACAATCATCCAACAAGAACCCGCTGTGTGCCAGGTCTATGCTAGCATCTGAGGTAGTAAGATCTGACCCCATCATAGAGGTCCCCATGACCCTTCACAGAGCATGAGAGGTGTTCAGCAGAAGTAGAAGCAGGACACTGTGGAAGGTAGTGTTTCAGGTAGAAAAGGGGCCAACTTCATAGATACAGAACAAGGAACCATGATGCAATCAAGGTCACGGAGGAAGTCCATCAAACCGCAGTGTAAGGAGAGGCTGGGAGGCCAGAAGCTTGGGACAGGAGGTGGTTTGTATCCTGAGGACAGTGTCTCCAGGCAGAGCCAAAGGATGAAAGTTCAAACAGGCTCAGCCATCGGAGGGAGGCTAGACAGATGGAGGAACTGTGGCCTCAGTCGGGACACTTTGGGGCTAGGAGAGAGCATGTTTGGAGTGCAAAGTCAGAAGCAGAGCTGGATGGTTCCAGTGCCAGATGGAGACCATGCCAGCAGCTTCCCACAGAGGAGTTCAGGCACACCTGGCAAGCAGGCGTGACCAGGCCACCAGGGACACCCAGGGCTGGTGAGAGCTTTAGGGCTTGCGGTGGGCCTTGCACAGCACCATCGTTACTGGTGTTGATTAATCAATGGCAGGAGAGGATGATGTCTGACGACCATGGCTCTGAAATTAATGGCTTTGGCCTACAGTTCTAACTTTGCTAGTTATAAAAAAAGATGACGTTAAGCAAGTTGCGTTGTTCCTCAGATTCTCAGTTTTCTCATTCGCCCAGTCAACATAGTGTTAACACCTAAGTCTTAATATTGTTGTGAAGATGACAAAAGATCATATAAATAAAGGGCTTACTAGGGCCCAAGGCACACAAGTACCTGTTACTTACAGTTATTACCACAATTAACATGGTACCATTATTACTTTTCTGGGACTCACTAATTCTTGAAAAGTCTTCCAATGTGTTTCTGTAGTATTTCTCTCAGGATAAAAGGAGATCCCCCTCCCAGGGTCAGGCCACTAATCCTGCTAATCCCCTGGATAAATCTGGGCCCTCACCAGACTTCACTGTGGACACCTTGCAGAGGGCTTTCTTAGTTCCCTTATGCAGGGTTGAGGGGCCCAGAGAGATCTTTCTAGAGTCACCCACTCCTCTCCTTTAGCCTTTTTATAGGCTACAGTATAAGTCAAGCCCCTCAACCCCTTCCCCACTCTTTGGAAGTGAGACACCATAAAGAGGCATCCCCCAGGGGGCCCTGAATCACGAGAGCAAGCAAAGGCATTCCACAGTGTTGGAGGACACCCTTTGATTTTTTCCAGGACCACATTTTTCCTCCCGTTGGCTTTGTCTTCTGGTTGAAGGATTAAAAAAAAAAGAATCCTGTGAAAGTCTCCATGTATCTTTTTGAAGAGGTAAAATAGAACCAGCTGAGCCTAATCAACTCACAGAGGTGCCATAAATACCCGCCAGGCTATAAAAGTGCAATCTTTCTGATACAGCAATGCCGAAGTGAGAGGTGCAATGGGAATACGGCGCCCGCCCTGACCCCACTTCTCAAACTTGCTTTGTGTTCATGCCTGTCAGAGTCTAATGCAGGCTGAGGAGCAAAAATAGAAGCTTGAAGAAGGAGGTCTCCCAGAAAGCTCAAGCCTTGGTCCAGGTATTCCATCACCATTGGAGTTGCCCTGTATGAGTCATAAAGAAAAATGAACAGTCCATCAGGGCCCAGGCCTTCATGTGGGGGCACTGAGTGTGATCACCCTTCTCAGCTTGGACAATGCATGTCCTAAAAATGGTCTCCAACCAATGGAGATAGCAAGTCTCCGTTCCAGAAAGCGTTCCTCCCTCAGGGTCTAGTATAGGCTTTCTCTTCCTTCTGAACACTTCCAGGTGGAACTGAGTGACTCTCAGGCATCTGTAAATAACTAATGGAAATCACGGGGCACACAGGTTTCCAGGAAAAAAATTAATTTCTGTTTTTTCTGCAGATCTATCCTGAGAAATTAGTCCTGATTTCTTGGTTTTCCCCTCCACTTCTATTTATCTTCTGTCTCTCTTCTGTAAACACCTATGTTCTCCTACCTTACTGGTTCCTAATATTGAGAGGTGTCAGGATAGTTGAGGAGGCTCTCCTACCCCTCCTCCTGTGTTTTGAGCCACTGGACAGACCCAGCTGTGTCCATGGTCACCCTTGTTGGAGAATTAGAGACCTCTTTTCGTTTCAGGATTTCAGGGTTCCACTAAAGCTCAAACTGGCTCTCTTCTTCCACTGAGGGTCCTCTTTCCCTAGAATGAACCACACCCAACCTGACACTCACATTCCTCTGAGATTTAACCCATCAAACACCCTGGCTAACTACAGTGTACCCAAAGGAAGGACACATCAGACCCACATCTCAGTCCAGACCCTGCCACTTGTTAGCTGTGTAACCTAAGCCTGGCAACGGGTAGCAGTATCAAGGCTGCAACTGTCACAACTTTAGCTGACACCAATGCAAAACAGGAGGAGAGCGCATACCAGTAGAAAAGATAGAAAAAGAGGTAAGTTCCTTCATCCTAAGTAGTTTCTCTTCCTTCATCTTTGGCCCTTGAAATAAGGGCCATTATCTTGATTTTAAAGACTGGTGTGCTAAGTCAAAAGACTGAATAAATATGCCAAGAGGGGAACTGTGAGTGTGTGAATGTTTTGTGTCGTGCTTGTGTGTGAGTGGTGCATATGTGAGTCTGAACATGTGTGCATTATTAATATAAATGTGTTGTGTGTATGAGTGTGTGTGAGCACATGCATGTGTGTGGAGTGTGTGTACCTATGTATGTGGTTCTGTAGGCTCCATCTCTTTATAGATGTTTAGGATTGAATCTTATTGCACCCTGAAGAATTCTTCCCCACTGTCAAGGATCTGTCAACCAGAAGAGGCAGAACTTGGAGTTGAGCATAGTTTGTTGTGTGACCTTGGGCAAACCATCTTATCTCCCTAATCTTAGATGAAAATGTGCAAAGATCCTTTTAAAT